TGAAGAATGTTGGGGCTACCTATCAGAGGGCTACGACCACCATTCTGCATGACATGATCCATAAAGAGGTTAAGGTGTATATGGACGACATGATTATCAAATCCAAAGAGCGAGAAGGCCACTACACCGCACTGCAAAAATTCTTTCAACCGATCAGGGAATACAGATTGAGGTTAAACCCGCAAAAATGCACCTTCGGCGTAACAGCAGGGTGTTGGGCTTTCTGATCACGTAGAGGGGAATTGAAGTAGATCCTTCCAAAATCGAGGCCATCTTAGAAATGCCACCACCAAGGACTGAAAAGGAGGTGCATGACTTTCTAGGTAAAGTGTAATTCATAAGACAGTTTATTTCCAAATTAATCTTGACTTATGAAACACTCTTTGGTCTTCTGAAGAAAGGAAAAAAATTTCGATGGGACAATCGATGTCAGTTTGCCTTTGAGCAGGTCAAGCAATACCTCAGAATTCGCCTGTGATGTAGCCACCAAAGTCGAGAAAGCCTTTTATTCTGTATTTGTCAGTGACGGACTCAACCGTGGGGTGCATGTTAGCTCAAGAATCTAAAGATAAGGTGGAGAAGGCCATCTATTACTTGAGCAAGAAGATGCGAGACTATGAGACCTGCTACACTCCCTTGGAGAAAGCTTGCTTAGCCTTGGTATGGGCTACCAGGAAGTTGAGGCACTATTTGTTAGCTCACTCTGAAATCCTGGTTTCGAAGTTAGATCCCATCAAATATGTCAGCTCGTTGCCTACTTCTTCTCTCCAAATTTGATCTCAAATATGTTACCCGCAAGTTATAGCGGAATTCCTGGCAGACCACTCGGTAGAAGGAGATGAGGCAGTAGAATACTTGTTCCCAGATGAAGACATTTTGCAAGTCAAAGAGGAAACTTGGATGATGTACTTTGACGGAGTGTCCAATCACTACAGTTATGGGATTGGTGTGTTGCTAATAGCACCCGATGATTCCCATATACCCTTAGCCTTTAAACTCTAGTTCAAGGTGTCCAACAACGAAGCAGAATATGAAGCGTTCATTGTTGGTTTAGAAGCTGCCCTAGAACTAGGGGCAAGAAGATTGGATGTCATTGGGGACTCAAACTTGGTTGTTTCTCAAGAAAACGGAAACTGGAAAGTCAAAGAAAAGAAGATGAATGTTTACCATCAGGCCTTGGATATGCTGATTTCAAGGTTTGGAAAGTTGACATTCACGCATCTACTGAGAGAGAACAACAGGTTCGCTGATGCTTTGGCAACTCTATCTTCTATGGCAGACATCTCATTGGGAGTAAAGATGCTTCCAATCATTATCAAACAAAAATACATGCCGGCCTATGAAACCATTGCTGTAATAGATGAAGTGCTAGACAAAACCCCTGGTATTACGATATTTGGAACTTTCTGGAAAGGGAAACGTATCCACCATGGGCTAATGCAAAGAAGAAACCGGGAATATGGCATCTGGCCTTCCAATTTATCATCTGCGGGGGTGAGTTGTATAAAAGAGGTCATTTGGGAATGCGCAAGCTGTGTGTAGAGGAAGAGGAATTGAAGCATCTTATGGAGGCTATCCAAGGGGGAGAGTGCGGGGCACACATGAATGCTGTGATGCTAGCCCGGAAGATCCTCAGACAAGGTTATTACTGGTCAACTATAGAGGAGGATTGCAGTGGTTTTGTACGGCGATGCCAAAAATGCCAAATTCATGCCAATCGCATGAACATACCGCCATCTAAGCTTTACAACATGATTTCACCATGGCCTTTCTCAGTCTAGCGAATCGATGTTATCGGTGCAGTCTCGCCAAAGGGGTCAAATAGGCACGAGTTCATTCTGGTGGCGATTGATTACTTCACAAAATGGGTGGAAGTTCAGTCCTATGCCGTGTTGAAAGCATCGTATGTAGCCAAATTCATCAGAAATAACATCATCTGCCAGTATGGAGTTCCAAACGAGATCATATTAGATAACGGCTCAAACTTCAAGAAAGAGGTGGTGGATCTGCTTGAGAAATACAACGTAGCTTTTCATAAGTCATCGATATACAGACCACAGACCAATGGAGTAATTGAGGCTGCCAACAAGAATATCAAGAACATCTTGTGGAAGATGGTGCTAACATACAGGGACTAGCCGGATAAACTGCCATTCGCGCTCTGGGGCTACAAAATCTCAATCCGAGCATCTACAAGGGCAACCCCCTATTCTCTCGTCTATGGGATGGAGGCTGCTTTGCCAATTGAAATTAAAGTGTCATCACTGCGAGTTATGACCAAGTGTCAGATAACAAAGGCAGACTAGCAATAGAGTGGATTTGAGGAGTTAATGTTGTTTAATGCGAGAAGACTAAGGGCATTATCTCATGTCCAGGGCTACCAACGCCGAATTGCTAGGGCTTTTAACAAGAAGGTCAAGTTCAGAAATCTCAAGAAGGGAGACATGGTACTGAAAGACAACCGAGCTCCCATTCATGATCCTAGGGGCAAGTTCAGGCCTAATTGGACTGGTCCTTACATTATCAAGTCAATCTGGTCAAGAGGGACGATCATTCTCATGGACTTAGATAGCCTAGAGTTTTCATAGCGAATCAACATGGACAAGTTAAAGAAATACTACCCTTGAGAGGCTCACCCGAAAGGGCGACCTAGGCAAAAATTAGAGCATGAAAAATCATAAATGAAGAAAAACTGAGCTTGCAAGGTTGAAAACCCTAAAGGGTGACTTTGGCAAAAGTTAGAGCGCAAAAGGAGAGAGTTAACACTCAAGTGAACTTGAACCGAACTACGTAAGGCTTGATTCCCATCTTTGGGATACGTAGGCAACTTCATCCTGAAGTTTGGCTGTAACCATGTCCAACTTAACTGTCCTATTCGTTCATTTTGATCAGGCCATCTTTCTCCATTATCAATTAGCTCAGTTGTGTGATCTTTATGTTGGCAGAAGGGTTGGTATGGCGGATGTAGTTATGGGCAGTTGCGATCTATTGATTTAGGACTATACATCTTGAGAATTGATTTTGTGTGTTAGGCAGTGATCATTCCCGAAAATTGTTTGGAAAAGTTTTGATAAAAGTTAATTTTGTTCAAAATTTTACCTTTTACAACTTGGACCATTTTGGGACTAAAAGGAAAATTTTTAGTGCTCGCAACTTCAATTCAATTCATTTCAACACAAGTACATTCTCCAACTCTCTGATATAAATCAAAGTTACTTTTACATTATAATACTTGAAAAGGAAGGTTAAAGCAATAAACTAGGGACATAGATAAGTCAGGTGGTTCTACGTTCTCTGCTCATGCTTGCGAAAGTCTCTACAGCCAAAGTTGGCCCAACCTATGCTTCATCCTCAAGCCAAGCCAAGCACTTGCCAGAAAGGGCATAACTGAAACTAGAGGCAGGGGCTAGAAGTTCTCTCGTCCTCTAAGCAGTGAGGTACCGAGGCAAGTATGAACCACGAATGGGAAATGATGCCGGGTATTCCACCCCTTCTTCCGGACAAGCCTGATCATGTCCAAATTGGCATCTGAACTAAAAAGGGAAATATAACATGCAGTGTGTGAGGCCAATCAACTGTATACCCTACTATCGAGACATGTTGTAGCTCATCTTAGTCAAATTAAGCCAGGGGCAACACCAAGCTATGTCAGCTGTGGATCTGCTGCACATCCAGTCGCATCACAATCCCTTTGTAGGGAAGTCCACTAGCCCCGAAAAAAGTAAGCTCTGGCCAAGTACTCAAGGCAAGGGTCCACTACTTTCAGTTTATCCATGAGCTATACCTTGGAAGGAATGAAAAATAAGAGAGATTAAAGAATAGAGAGATGTACATTCGGGGAAAAGTAAGAAAAGGGGTTTAGAGATGAAGATAAAGAGTGAGTACCTAGTGGTGCGAGGAATCATAAATAAGAAAGGATGGGAAACAATACTTGAAGAAGTAGCAAACTCCTTGCAAATCAGGTAGTCTCTTGCTGATGAAAAGCATCTAAACCAATCAAGGTCTCGGCTAGTGCTAGACCAATGCAGCTTTTGCCCTCTTTCATGCATTGAGCCACCTCAATCAACCTAATGTTGGCTTCGCCGCAACTAGGGGCAAGAAGGAAGTGTGCGAGTAAGCAACAAGTAATGAAGCACAGTGGGAAGAAAAGAAGAAAGTACAGTGGGCAGACATATAGAGAGATGTGTACATACTCAACACCGGGAGCCATCACCAACCTGCAATCCCTCTCTTCAATGTGCTCAAGGGGGATCTACTTAATCACCCCGTTTGGTCGCATGTATACAACCTTAATAGGAATCACCAGAAGCCTAGGGACAAAAGTTGTAGTAGGATCCCTTCCAGCGGTAGCAACATGTAATGACCCCGAAGTGCGTATAGAAAGTTATCCTTATTTAATTAGGGGTTAATGTGCTTGCTATTGGAATTGAAGAACTATCCGTTGGGTTATGTCTTTGAAACTGGAATTGGTGACCTTTACCAAACAATCTAAAATTTTTCCCTCCGCTCGAGCGGAGTAGTTGGCGCTCGAGCGTCCTTTTGGGGTTTCCAGTAATTTTGCAGGAGGACTGAAATTCTGGGAGAGGTGATTTTCTGCTCGAGCGTATAAGTGGGCGCTCGAGCGGGTCGCCTGGTTAAGTTTGATTCTAAGACATGTGGACTCATTTTTGATGTTCTTCTTAGTGTGTTTGGAATATTCTTACCTTATTTTGGGGTATTGATTGAGATGATAAGATGATGGTAAAGTAAGATTGGATCAAAAACTTTAATTTGAATAATTCGTTTACGACCAACCGTCACTCTTTTTCCATTTTCTTGTTCCACACTTGGAATTTGGATGTGAGGTTAGAACCATTGGAAAGCTTATTTTCGGGGCTTCAATTTGGGCACAAGAATGACCTAAAACGGAGTCCGGATGAGAGAGTTACGCCTGTTTGAAGTTTTCATATCGGTGTTGGAAGCAGGACCGCACGTGCAGGAAATGCGGCGCACGTGCGGCGATGTGCGGGGCAGCAGCTCAAAAACGTGATTTTTGAGTCATTTCTTAGATTTTCTTTTCCTCTCTTCCTCTTCCCTCTTCCATGTCCAAAACCCTAGCTCCCAAAACCTTGATTTCCTCCACTTTTCTCAACAAATCAACCATGGATCTTGCATCAAGGATGGAGAATAAGAGGAGATCACCACTTTCTACCAAATGGAATTTCGAAATTTTTGAGGTATGTTGGGGTTCTATTATGGGGTTTAGAGTATGGTCTATGGGTTATGGACCTAGGGTGCCTAATAAATAGGAAGATTTCAAATAAAAAGTAATGGGTTAAGAAGATTTAAAATTTTATTTGAAATTTGTAGATTTCTTAGAAACCCTAGGTTGATTTTTGATGATAATCCATGATTTGGCCCAAATTGATAGTTGAATCATGAAAGTGGTAGGTTGAATTAGATGTGTTCAAGTTTAATTGGAATTTGGTTATGTTTGAAAATTATGTTTAAATTTTGCGATTGAACTTTGTTAAATGCATTGTAAATTATGTTTTAATAAAAGGGAAATTGGGGGAAAAGATTTATTGATAATGTGGATGATATAAATTCGATTATGGAATGTTGAAATGGAATTTAAGAATTTCTTTTGAGATATGTTGAATTGTGATGATTACGTGGGATGGTATTAACTATGTGGATATTAATTTTTGTGACCTAAAATGTGAAGTTTTCAAGAATGGGTTTAATCCCAAATCATTTTACTAAATATTTGTGGGCTTGCTTAGTTATTAAACCAAGAGAATGATTTAATAGGATTTCTTATAGGGATGGGGAAATGTTTGGTTTTTAGTGGAAACACTAGAAATTTAAGGAGTTTTGGGGAACATGGAAATGTTCATAAAAATCCTTTCTTTCTTTGAATAGAAGAGGAATGGGTATAAATTCCATAATGTATTTTGTAAGACTAGTAATCTTATATGTATATATATATATTGAGTTGGAGAAGTAGGCTTGAAATTTCATGCTGCAAAATATTGTTTGCTCTGTTTTACATGCTTAACCCTCTGGTATTCCTGGAATTTGTGTTTGATGCCCTTAATGTATAAGTTGTTTACATGTGTAGGGCATAACCTGAGAAGGACAAGCACTCCGTTATAGCACTGTGAGTAATAGTACTCTAACGCACATTATTTACCGTTAATAATGATTCTTATTAACATCTTGTTCCCCGTGGTCAATTAAGTTAACATGTATGTGGAACGAGAATTAGTGTGAACTTATGTAAACATTGAAGGATTTGGCACACACTAACATGATACAGATATCTACCTAGAGTGGATCATCAAAACGAATAATTGGATAAGACTACGGGTTGTTTTGTACGTTAATAACCATTATGAAATTATGTTAAATATCAGATGAACCTCTGAATGACTCAATCCGGAGAAAGAATTGAATGTCAATAACACAATTATGTGACCTACGTTATGATGTGAATGGCTCCACTCTTATTAATGTAATGGAGCATTTACCTTCTGTTTATTGTTAATAGTGTTGTTCTATTATTGTGGGACAATTATGTCACCTTATGAGAAACCATGGGAAAATCTAAGAGCATTACTGGGTACTACGTTCTGTTCATTATTGATAATGGATACTAACACACTGTTATCTGTAAGTCAGTTGTATGAATTTATAACGAACAAGGGGAATGTAAGTGTATTACGAGATTATGGTATTTGCATATCTCTGGACTCGTTTAATATGTAATAACATTCTGTTATCTGTGAACTAGAGGTAGTAATTCATGACAAACAAACGGGATGTGACTGCATTATGAAGTTCAATCTGGTAATAGTTGCTATTAGCACTCTGTTGAACGTAACGTAACTATGTTACCTCGTGCGAATAATTAGAAGGAATATAAGGCCGAGAGCCATTTGTGAAATATGAATCGATGAGGCCGAGGGCCAGCTTGTGAAATTATGAATATTTGTGAAATCTATGAACTTATGAGGCCGAGGGCCAACGTGTGAAAGGGCTTCATGCCAACTTTTCTGGGGCCTTAGTGCCATATGTTATAAGGGCTTCATGCCACATGTTTCAAGGGCTTATAGCCACCATGTTTATGTTGCAAGATTGAACCTAAGGCCATTATGTACTTAGCACAGAATCAGACTAACTATGTGAACTCTACATCTTTATATGCATTGCCCTGTGTTATGTTTCAAATTAAGCATCGTTTTATTTATGTATTACTATTCATTGAGTCTGGCTCACTCTTTGTTATGTCAGTTTCTGTAGGTCACCAATCAGATGGTCAGTCCTAGCCATGACGCTGCCTTCTTTTGTCAACCTTCGTGTGTCCAGGCACTATACACAGTCATTGATTTTGTTAAGCTGATAAGATGTTGGCTTGCTTTTTGAATGTCTATCTAAGAGTGATGTATATAGCTCTCATGTTTTTGTATATGCCCAATAATAGGGCTGGGTCTGTATATATGTATGTATATAACCGATGTTCAGGTGTATGTTTTAGATTTTATTTGTTTGTTAAAAGTTTGTGATCCTAGCATGATAGTAGTAGCTCGATGGTGTTTGTTTCCAGTGTCAAATTTTAATATTTAGTGCTTCCGTTCAGGCCCCATATATATAGATATAAAACAGGTTAAGTGTCCGTTTCTGAAGTGGTCATGCCCAAACTTCTAGGGGCTGGTTTGGGGCGTGACACAACAGCAGCAGCAACAACCTCAGGAACAGTGCGAATCACACCCTAGGTAAAATGCGCTATCACCCGAGTCTGTAAGAAGGTAGTGAAGTCGCCAGGCTCATGGTACCGATAACAATCCTCCCCCAACATCAGGAAGTCAATCTGTGGTCCGTCAGTGAGATCATCAACTACCCTCATGCCTGGAAGATGAGGATGTGGAATGTCAGGATCAGCTACACCTCGCGTCTGACAAATGAACCTCTCTCTTAAGTAATATGCCCTACCGAAAGGGCCTTCAAACATAATCTGCATGGTGGAGGCATGCCATGTAGCAACATAGGTCATCCTCGCTAGCTGAGGGATGCTTGCCTAGGGGTGCCAGTCAACCTGTCAATAGAAGATGCAAGCTAAGTGTCAGATATCGGGGGTATGGAAACATCAGTATGGAAACAACAATAAATGTAAAGACTAGTATTTTGTTACCTGATCCGCGATGATGGTGTCAAAGAAACGGCGGAAGTAAGGGAAATCTCAGTATACGCGGCGGTGTAACTCGAATCTAGAGTTGTAGTACCAGGAGTGGGTTACTAACAACACAATCGGCCTCACTAGGACCGGAGCTAGAGAAGTGAAATACGTGTAAACCCATAGCTGCAAGTAGACAAGGATGAAAATAAATGCAAAGCAAAAATAAACAGAAAATGTACAGCAAAAATGAGCAGGAAATGCAAAGTTGAACAGAATACAAAGATGAATAGAAAAGTAAGTGTAAGGTGTACCTCTCAAACCCTCCAGTAGTTGCCAAGTGAATCTTCCTTGCGGCAGGATACAGAGTGCATGTAGTAGTACAGAGTGACTAGGCCAACGCCAACCCAGTCATACTCTGCCATCTGTGGTCGGTGCACTAGTGCTCCCAAGAGATATAGCCCCGTGGTATTTTCCCTATTCGCAAACAAGGTAGTACCGAGGAGATACATGAGGAAGCCACGAGTGTACTAGGCGACCTCATCTAGAGTAGCTGGCTGAAGGTCAGTGAAGCGCTATACGAACCAAATGTACCTCACCATCCCGTGAATAATTATGTTTGGGATCGCCCTGACAAGTTGACGCTGTGTAGCTTTCCACTATGTCATGTCAAGATCAAATGGGATTGGGCCACCAACCCCTACCCAGTGGCCGGTGAGCATCGGGAAATTGTACAAGGTCAAAGTTAGCTCCCCAATCGATGAGAAGTGGAATGAGTCTGTAGTGTCCTACCATCTCTCCACCAAGGCCCCGTAGAGCAGTGGCTCAGCCCTCATCTATATGAGCCCTAAACCGAAAGGCATGAAGCCAGCAGCATCGACTAGTGTGCAGACCTCCATAGGAAGCCTCTCATACCAATGTCGAGGGTCGGATATGGATCCATAGCCGCCAATCCTCTTGTCTATCATCTGTAAGTTGGGAAGTGTTATTAGAATGTGTGTAGCATTAACGGATAGTTTGCCTACGAGATTCAACATGTGTGCAAAACAAAGGAAAGATTGCTTACCGTGGAGGCATCGGCGGACAAGTGCTCCACGGGCTCTCATAGCAAGAAGTCCTCGTCTATCCCTGGGATGAGGCCCTCGTATCTCAAAATATCGCCTAGGGTCGGATTGTTTGAACGTGACTAGTAGGTGGCCGCATCAAATGGTCTGTCGGCAAGAGGAAGCAGCGCAGGCTCAAGAACATCCTCGACCTTTATATTTGCACCTAGGATGGCACCAATACCCACAACGGGGTTGGGGATGGGAACCTCATCACTAGCCATAGAGATAAAATGGAAAAATGTGAAAAAGTGAGTGAGTGAGTGAGTTTGAGCGAAAATCCCAAAAAAACCCCAAAGGTCTAAACCCTAGGAGAGAGAAAACGAAGAGAGTGAAAACTCAAAGGTGGAGAGACAAAAGTGTGGGTAGATGTGTGAAAATCTAAAAAAAACCAAAAAAAACCAAAACCAAAACTCATCTAAATCAAGGTTTGTGCAGTTCAAAATGTAGAGGAGTGAGTGGTTTTACGAAAAAATTCGCGAGGGTTTGTGGGTTTTTCTAAAATGGGGAAAATCTGGAGAGAGAGGAGGCTTAGAGAGAGAAGATGAGTGATTTCGGACATGGATATGTGTTAAATGAGGGCTAGGCCTTGTTTTAAACAACTGTGGCTCGCAGATTGACCATTCTGCCCCACTGCCGCTATTGCGACACGGCCGGATCCATCGGAGCCCAGCCGTGCTTCATTTGGGCCCAGCCGGCCGTGATCCATTGAATTTGCAACAAAAAAAAAAAAAGAAAAAGAAATGGAAAAGAGGTTTCTTTTGTGTGTTTTGATTATTTCTTTTGTTTTGTTCAAATTACATTCGGTTTGATAATATTGTTATCTTTAGCCCATTTTCAGAAAAGGAAAAATCAGCAAACTTGTTTCCACATTCCTCATTCGAGCTTCGCTTTCATTGTTTTGGGTTTGCGTGTCATTGGTTTCAACTCTTTGTAAATTCGCATTTCAACTTTGCACCTTGAATTGGGCTATGTCATTGAATTTATTCTCTGGGGCCTTCTAATCTCACTGTGTCAAGTTTGGAATTTGTTTGCTCTTTCGTTGACTCGATTTCCTTCTCTCGCGTGAGATACATTAAGATTGTTTCCTCGGTTAAAAACAACAGTTGTGCCTGCTTGTTCACACCATCTTTCCTCCTTTCGTGTGAGACATGTTAGGTTGTTGTTCACATTGGTTAAAAACAGTAGGTGCGCCTGTTTGTTCACACCACATTTTCCTCCTCTCACGTGAGACGCATTAGGATTGTTTCCTTGATTAAAAACAGCAGGTGCGCCTGTTTGTTCACACCACATTTTCCTCCTTTCACTTGAGAAGAGTTAGGTCGTTGTTCCTTGTTAAAAATAGCAGGTGTGCCGATTTCTTCACACCACCTTTTCCTCCTCTTGCATGAGACGCATTAGGTTGTCGTTCCTCTATTAAAAACAACATGTGTGCCTATTTGTTCACACCATCTTTCCTTATTTTGTGTGAGACACATTAGGTTGTTGTTCCTTGGTTAAAAACAACAGATGTTCCTTTTATTCACACCACTTTTTCTCTTTGTTGGTTAAAAATATCAGGTGTGCCTGGTGTTCACACCATCTTTCCTGCTTTCACGTGAGACACGCTCGGAGTTGTTTTCTTCGGTTCAGAACAACAGGTGCGCCTAGTGTTCACATCATCCTCCACCCCCTCTACGTGAGACGCAGATTGACATGGATCTTTTCACCTTCCTACGTGAGACATAGTTGGGTTTGCATTTTATTATATCATTTCTACGTGGGATGTAGTTTGCTTTGTACTTTCTTTGTCCCTTTCACGTGAGACGTGTTTAGTTACTTACTTGTTTCCATGTGAGACACGGTTGGATTTGTTTTGCTTTGATCTATGCTTTCGTTCAATGTCGCATTGTTGTTTTGATTACATTGTCTCATCGCTTGTTAGAGTTCATTCAAATGTTTCATTGCATTATTTCAATGCATGATCATAAGTTATGTTCTGCATATCATCTTTCATTTTGCCCCTAAACTATGCAAGTTTGATTCCTTGCAAAGGAATATGTAGGCAATCCCCGGGTTCAACCATATGGATCTTGAGCGATTTTCTTGCCCAATTCTTACGGCCGCGTCAAATGGGTCATCTTTGGGCTTTGATATTCACTCATGCCATATTATGACTTTGAGTTCTGTCAAAGAGGGGCAACTATAGACACCTCATTTTTGACCGCCTGTAAGACTCAGGTGCTTTGTCTTGTGCACTCGATGATGAAAATAGCATTGTATGTGATTCAAATGCTCAACGAAGGAATCCAAGGTCGAGCTTTGAAACAATCCCAACACCTTCCTATTTACCTTGTTTATATTTCAGAGGTTCCTTTTTGAACATTTTGCCACCCTATGCTAAGCTTGAAACAAAGAAACAGGGCAACACATTGGGCCCCAATCGTGCCTCATTGGGAGTCGGCCGTGGCCATTTGGGGCCGGCCGTGCCTTGGTAGCAATAAACATTGTTCTGGGAGGGAGCCCGCCAGCTGTCTAATTTTGAAGATATTTTCGATCTATTTTGCTCAAATTCTATAAATACGAGGTTATGTCTCTGTTTTGAGGGTTGAACAAATTCTAAAGAGCTTATATACACACTTGAGAGCCCCTTCTTCTTGTGCAAGCCACCTTTGAGCAAACCTATCACCCTTGAAACATATCTACACACCACATACAACCTTAGAGAAAAGCCTTAGAGATTTGGTTGAGCCTTGAGCATCACAATTTAGGCTTGAGAGTGTGCTTGGACCAAGTTTGATCGACAACAAGAGCTTGTCCTCTTTAAGAGGTATAAGCTTACCACCTTTTCTTTTGCTTTCATGTCTATCTCTTACCCTCAATTTCTTGTGTTTTTGTATTGTTTTGGATCTATTTCAAGTGTTGGAACTTGGGTTTGAATAGCTCCCAAAGGTAGAAACGTTTAATACCCTTTATTGCACCTTACTTTATAGCTCACACCCTTGTCTTTATACTCATTTTTTAGTCCTCAAGCTGATTTTCAGAGTTCAAAATAGGCTAAAAAACATGGTTTGAGGTTTCAAAAATAGAGGGGTTAGCCACCTCTCATTGCTCTTGTTCATTAGCCTTGTGATTCTTTGCTATTTCCTATCTTTTTCGTACTCTTTAAACATCATTTTAGCCACTAGTTTTTACATATTAAGGGATGTTTAGACTTGTTTTAATGCATTTAGTTGGTGTATGCTTTCAATACTTTGCCTACCATGTTGTAAGTCCTCATGTCTTTGTTCATTTAGGCCTTAGA